GCCGAATCTTTTGTTCTCATTTTGTACACTTTTAAACTGCTCTCAATACATTTGTTCCCATTTGGCTCCTTCGTAGGTACGTCCATGTAATTACATTTTGCTCTCGTGCAAAACTAAACCAAAACTGGAACGCCTTCTCGGTTCCTGAATCTAATTGTTATATTTGCATTTGTGTTTTTTTCGATCATATTTTAAGCGTTTTTTCAGGCGGCCTCCATTATAACAGTTAAAAATGAAAATAGGGATTAAATTTATCGAAAAAATAAAAGTCTAAATTTAACGATTATTTTTTTATCGAAACCAATCCAAAAGTTACGATTTGCAATGATCGGTAAATTAAAATCTTTTAAACCAAATATATAAAAATAAAGAAGACGTTAAATGCTTTGTTAATCGAAAATTTGTATGAAAATATCACTTTATAAAGCTTTTCAAAGCCAATTTATTTTTTATGAATTATTTATGCTATTGGTATTTAACAGTTATTTCCGGTCCCTGGCGAAAAGATTTAGGTATATGCCTTTAAGCACCGATATTATTGTAACCATATAGTGAGAAAATCTGAAAATGAGTGAATATCCTAAATAAATATAATTAAATTTATGGTATTAAGGATTCATAAATGGGTCGTATCTATAAAAAAAATTGAATCTAACACACTTATTTGTTCCACTTTTTCATTTCATTTAATTAAATATATATAGCACATTACACATTAGGGTGGTCTTTAAAAATATTTACATCTAATTTTTGTATGGGATACGGACCGCTTTATTATGTTCTACGTACAAATCAAAGACATCCACGAAAATTCGATAAAATTAAAATTTTTTTTAATGTCCCCAAAAAATCGACAAAATTTTGGCATGCAATCTTATAAATTTGACATATTATTGAAAATGTTTCATATATGTAAATCAGGCTGCTCAAAATTTTTATATTAAAATGAAATTGGAATACATCTACAAAATTTATGTGTACACTGACTGAATATACACGAAGTTAAAAACACAAATTTATTTTTATTGTACGATTAGTGAATGAAAATTTTTAAAAACGTGAAAAGTTTCAAAATTTGGTGAGAGGCATGCTTGCATATACTTACAATTTTAAAATTTCATTCGTATCCCTGGGATACTCCTCGCTTATAAAAGTAAATGTAGTTTTTCATTAAAACAACCACATGATCAAGTGTGAATTGCAGCGGAATAGCTGCGCGTGATTGTAGTTGGCTCACAAATGTGCTTATGGAGTGAGCAGCTCTCGCTGAGTTATAGCTGGTAAAAGATAAAATTTGGTAAAATTTTTGGGATTTGTAAAAAAGTCGAACTTTTTTTTAATTTTTAAATTTCCACGGATGTTCATGATGTTGATATTTTATAGACCACCCTAATATGTATACATATATATACGACCGTAATTGCACTTATAGCCTATTACGGTGACCATCCGTCCTGCATTATACGGGGCAGTCCTTTTTTTGACCCATTGTCCTGGTAATTTATTTATTTTATAGTGGACGCCAAATTTCTGTATTTCTTTTAATGTCCTGTATTTGTACCGTATTCGGTGCTTCGACGCCTTAACAGCTCATTTAAATGGCATGCTTATGAACGAGTTTTAAGTGATGTTGGTATATGATCGTAATTTTCTCCATAAACAGTTATTATTTTCTAATCTGAATGCCTATTATTCGAATCGAGGAATACATACAGTGACCAAAATAAAAATTAGGACTCGACGTTTTAGTAAGCTTTGGCTATTTTTTCTCGGTTTATATAATTTTTATTATTTATTTTATGAAATGAAAGTTTTTTTCCTAACAAAAATCATATAACACCAAATTTCCGACTTTGTGCAAAAAACTATAAAAATTAATTTTGCAATATTTCAACAAAATTTAAAAATTTTTAATTCGAATCTTTAGAAAAAATTTGGTTTGCAGTTTTGTAACTTAATAAAATTTAGTATAATAAAATGGTCCAACATACTTACTTTGCATGAAAAAATGCGTTACACGATAAAAAAAAAAAAATCCAAAAATTAAAAAAAAAAAATTTATCGAATATTTTTAACAAATTTTTGGGGGTAAAAATCTCGAGAAAATTATCCTACAAATTTGTGATGTTACTAAAAGGATACTGTTTCAGGGCTAATACATCTAGCATCATTGAAGAAGGCTTTAAAGATCTGTAAGCTGTTGTGGAAAAAATTTGCAAAATTATTTTTTATAATTAATTATTCGGCTCTCATAAATATGGTCACCGTACTTATAGCACATATATGTATATACTCGTAATATTAAGCATTGAAATGGCGTTTATATATATACTTACTGTATGACTTCACGCTCAATCATCTTGCTCTCCGATAGCTGTGTGCCACTGTTTATTTAATTTATTTCTTTTTCGAAGTTTTGTACCAAAATTATTGATTAATATTGATTTACATATGTATTATACATACATACATACATACATACATAAATATGTTGATTACGAATATACTGTAAAACGTGGTCAGCGGAGGTGCGCATTTACACGTGATTAACTTTTATATGGTTTCGTCTGCCTGTGGTCTAACTAAACGAAACAACACAAACATACATACATACATATGTACGCATAATATATTGACTGCATATATGCATATATGTATACAAATAGATATATGTATTTATTATTTTTGTATTTTCCTGCCGGCATATGTCGGCTTTTAACCGCAAAAGCGCGTTCATTTTCATTTTTGCACAAGCAGACAGAGAACCATTCGCGAATGCAATGCAATGCAATGCACAAAAACGGGTCGATAAGACCAAGTCAGAGCAATTATTGCAAGTGGTTATTGCAAAATGCGGCGGTGCTACTAACACGATTATGCTCTAGCAGTGCAGGAAAGACTGAGTAGATACATCGTTACCTAAAGGTGAAAAGGTGCTAAGTCCATTTTTTGAAATTGTTCCGAACAGAAAAAAGAACCTTCTTATCTGTATATTATTTGTCATTTTGCATTAAAAATTCAAAATTGGATAAAANCTCCTTTTCAACACATACCTACTTACTTATGTTTGTTTGTAGGTTCGTACCTAAACAATATTGACGAATTAAAATGAGAAAATTTGAACAATAGTTCTGAACGCTGATATGATCCGCATTTAGAGTTGCTGCAAAGCATGTCACCTCAAGCCGGTTTGCTCATGAGGGTGGGAAGGAAAAGTGGAAATGTTGAAAACTTTCTTCCAAAGCCAAGGGGAAAATATGGGCAAAATCATGCCCTCAGCACGTTTTCATGCGCAAATAAAACGAAGTAATAGTTTTAGGTTTTCGAACTACTGTGGGGAGTAATAATGTGTACAAGGTGATTTTTGTTAAATATTTGCAAGGCTTTTAAAGTTAAAATTTATTTGTTATTGTTTTTTTTTTGTAAATGGTTCATGCTTTCACCAAAACTTTCAAACTTTATACAACTTTACAACTTTATACTTTCGAAAATTTAACAAATGTTCTTTAAAACTTTGAGCTTTCTAATGTGATTTTTTAGAATTTTATTGTTGTGTTAGTTTTATTTACTTTTCCTTGCAAACGGTCTTGCGTATTTTTTCCATAAGAAATTCATGCTGCTTTGAAAAAAATTTCAAAACGCCGTAAAAAAAATTTGAAAAAAACAACGCGATTCCGCAGCAGCTTAAAACATGCACTTTATTATACTAAAATTATTAAATTTACAAAACTGCATAATCAAAAGAATTCTAAAAAATCAGATTAAAAAACTCAAATTTTTAATGAAAATTTGTAAAATTTTTCTAGGCTCTGTTTAAAGTTAGAAAGCTTGATTTATATGGTTTTGCTTAAAGCATGCATCATATTTTTGCGAAAAAAAATTAAAAACTTAAAAATTTAACTCTAAAAACCAGGCAAATATTTAACAAAAATCGCCATGGTCACAGCACAACGGCTAGATTTACTGCATACATCACAACCGTAGTTGTCCTGGCCACTCTATGATAACACCGTGCGGTAAAAACAAGTATAGTAAAATTGCATTTTTTACTTTTCACTCCTTCATCCTTGATAACATGGATAACTGCATGTCTAGCCTGACACCAGCTGGCTTGAGCTCGGCTTCCCTCCCATCAAGGGATGAGCGGGCAGGGGGCTGTGGTTGGAGGGGGGCTCGGTGAACTTTTGCACGGATGCGGCGAAACTTGACGGAAGGGTCGGTGGACGTTTACTTCCAGGGAGCTCTGCATCAACCTCTAATTTAGGCTTCCCGACCACGGCAGTCTTTTTCAGGCATACCATAACACCATCCCTGTATCTGGGAAACTTCTTGACCGATATAAAAAGTATTTATGCCCATTTAAAGAGAACTTAAATACCTTTTATACGACTTATATACTACAACAGTTTTTAAAGAAAATTTTAAATAAACACAATTTAAAAAAAATAATAATGTCTTACGGCGTCTTCGGACTCAATCCGTAGAGCAATGTACGACCAAAATTAAAAAAAAAAGTTGGTGACATTTTCGACAACACTTCTTCTAAAGCCAATAGCCTCTACATATTTCTCGTTTTTTTTTTATACATATTGCAACATTCAATAAAATTTCAGGTTGTTTAATAAAATTTCAGATTGTCCATTTGTCAACACGCTTTCATGAGGCAAACTCGCCGGCCGTCTATTTTGCTCTCTATTACAAAACAGCAATCAGGCCACATTTTGTGTGTACGAAAATACCTGCCTAATGTGCCAGACACATTAACAGCAGCAGCCCATCGCCACAACGCTTGCTCGCATTACTATAAGTTATCGCAGCAGCAACAACACACACACTTTCGCTACAACTTAAAAATGCATTAACGTAAGTATCTACATACAAAACAAAACAAAAGCTTTCGTTGAAATGCGGAAGTGGAAGTGCCGATTTTGCGGATGGTGGACGGACGGACGGACGTAGTTGTTGCTGCAAATGTGGGCCTTTTACTGGTTTCCCCAGTGGGTAACAAAACCACAAGCAGACAGTGAGGCAGACAGACAGACAGACACGGGGATAGACAAAATGCATGATCGATATTCGTGGATGTGCAATTTTACATACATATGTTTGTATGTATGTATGTATGTATGTATGTTTCTTTGTTTGCGTTTTAGTATAAATTAAAAACAAAAACGTTGAATTTTAAATTCGTTTTTGCGCCACTCATTTTTTTTTTTTTTTTTTGTTACTGCTTCTGCCTCTCATTTTTTGCGAATGTATGTGCCGCGCATTCGCAAAGAATGTAATAAATCACTGGTAGTAAGTTTTCGTTGTATTTTGCGCATTAAATTTTTGTTCAAAGGTTGTTGGACAACCTCCTCACTCCTTTTGACTCACTTATGTATGTATGTAAATTCTGAAGTTCTGCACATAAAGTCTGCGACTCGTTTTTTGAGGAAGAATACTTATTTGTTTAATGGCGCGATATCTAAATTCAACGTTTATTTTGTCTGGCTTCGAACTGAACTTGCATCGGCCGCCGTTCGATGCAAACTGTTTTGAGCTGCGCTGATGGCCGCTGGTTTAACTGCAGATTGTGACTGGCTTTTGGCAAGCATTGTATAGAGCAAGCTTTTAGTGCAATCTTTTTTTAATTTTTTATTTTTATTTTAATATCTTTTTTTCCTCTTGCGCTGCTTTTTCCTTGAAGCGAGATGAAAAAGCTGTTGGTTGCAAGCTCAAAGGCGTTAAGTGAAGCAAGAAAATCTACCAAACAACTTGCCATTTGTAATGGGTTGCAAATTTTAATAGCCAAACATTGTTTTTGCGTAGTCGTTTAGTTTTATTTTTAATAGCACTTTAAAATTGAGATTGACTTAAGGTTTTTCCATAAACCCGATGCTAATCATATTCTCAATTTGATAATTGTGATGGATGTTATGTATATGGTACACCCTAATGTTTATGCACATAGGCGCATTTCGATGGCAAAGCTCTTTCTAAAGGATTATCAACTTAAATTGGCGACAAGATAAAGCCGGCATTTTGTCTCTTCCGATAGACTAATTCCGAGTAGGTACACGAGAATGCAGTCAGTAATTATCAATTGAATAACCAGAGAGCCATTTGTCTTCTGTTTATATGATTCATCCGCTTTTTAGCTAAATGATACACCAAGGGCCGGCCTGTGTAAGGTCCTCAGTACCCGCTTACTGCGTTCGGAGTTTACGCACACAGAAATTATACAGTCAGCGTCAAAAGTTAGCATACACCTTTTTTATACAAATATGCATAGTTCATTCTATAACAAAAACCATATAAATCGAAGTTTCACACTTTCAAGAAAATTCACGAAAATTAAAAAAGAGATCATCAAAATTTAAAACTTTTTATTCAGAATCTTTCATTTCAATTTTAGTCTAATAAAGTGGACGTTTCAAATCATTAAATATTCCCGTGATTTTTTACAATATTTTTTGTGTAGGGTTTTGCGCATTTTTCTCCATATAAAAAGATTTTGATCATACTTACTGCATACTCGAAAATTTTCTAAAAATTCTTACTAAGTTTTGTGAACTTTATATAAAAAGTGAAACTTTGATTTGTGTGGTTTATTGTATAGAATGAACTATATTTTCATAAAAATTAATGAACATATTTTTTCATTAAAAAAAAATTATGCATATTATATTATAACAATGTATATACTAACTTTTGACTCTGACAGTAAGTCTCGAAAAAAATTAAAGAGCCTTCTCTCGCCAGTTCGCCCGATACGTTGTTCAATTACACGGTGTAACACTGATCATGAACTTTTTAAGTGACCTAATACAGGTCATAGGGTCTGGTCCAGTAATTCACGAAACGGCGTTTAAAATTTTTGTAACACCCTCAAATTCTCGACTTATTCTTCAAAAACCATTTTTGCAAGACTACCTGGACATAAAAATTCTCAGCTCGGTTATTTTTCACTCAATTTATATATTTAAGTTTTTATATAACCTTGGAAAGAACAATATTTGTACTATTTAAGGACTTTTTATTTTTATTTCTTTATTTAATGCTGACTATTTTTATGAAAGTATAGCTTATTACCTAACAAAAACCATGTAAGTATGAATTTCAAACTTTGTACAGAAATGAGGAAAATTCGGTAAATTTTTAAAAAAATTGCATTAAAGTTTCATACTTTGTAATCAGAATTATTGATTTTTGGCATTTTTTTTTGTTGACGGTGTCAAGCATTTTTTCACTACAAAGTAGTTATTTTCGAAAATTTTTTTATACATATGGAGAAAATAATTTATTTTACTAATATTAAATGGGCTACAAAACGACACACTCAAATATTTTCTAAGAAATCTTATAAAAACGCTCGAAATTTTGATGAAACTTTGTTGAATTTCCCTAAATTTTGTACAAAGTTTGAAATTCGGAATTACATGGAGAAAAAATAAACATTAAAGAATCAAAAGACTTTTGTTTTCGCCAATGTACGTACATAGATACATGTGAGCTATCCATTTCACTTTCGAATTGACCCCATTTGATCTTTTAATTTTTACATGCATAGCAAGAAAAGAATTTATCAACTCTTCCTCTTCGCAGTTTACGCTTTTATGCTCACAGTGAACGTACGAGCAAACATGTACTGACTTACTTACAATACATACATACAAATGTGTGCATATTTTATTTTAGCAAACCAGATGCTGTTGCCCTCCTCCAAAACGACCTTGCTTAACGTCAGCGATGACCAACTTCAATTAGCACCTTTTTTTTAAGAAACCAAAAAAGCGCCTTTAAACAAGTAGCAGCCAAAGCAACAACATTCACTTTGCCACGCAGTATATAGTCGTAGCTTGTCAACGCTTTTGCACCTTATGCACTTATTTTCTTCTGCAGTATTTGTGGAATACCCAGCAGACTTAATGACTCCAATATGCATGAATGTTCAATTTCTTTATGCTTCAAATAGTTGGGCCTTTAAGTTATCTATTTTAAAGTAAAAGTTAAATCATTCGTAAAACTCAACTACAGAAATATCTATGGCATTTATAAAATTGACAAGTGAACGGCCTTAGGACTGAAAAGTAGAAAATAATTTTTTCTAAACCCATAGAATATGTCTTGATAAGTTTTGATTTTAAATTTTTAGCAAAAGTCATTATAAAAAATTTATGAGATTTAGAATGAAAAACGTGATAGACAATGATTTCAATTTGTTAAGTTTTATTAAAAAAATCGAGCTTAATGACTCTTTTCAGAGTTTTATTTACTGCTTGAAAAAAATCGTTATTTCTTGAGTTTTATTTTTTGCTCAGAAAATAAAACTTTCTTTTTGGGTATTTTTTTTTTAACAAATGCACCGGAACGCTCCAGTCCTGAAAGTAGTATCCACTAATGCTATCAGGCCATTTCTAATTGGAATCATTTGGCCCAAAACTTTTTAGGCCATTATTTTTTATTATATTATTTTTTGAGCCATAAATAAAACTCATTAAATAATCATTAAAAATTTTATTTTTTCAAAAATAAAAGTTATAACCGTTAGTGTCCTTGATTTTTTGCTTTATAGCCTTTGTTTTGTGTTTAATTTGGTTGCCTGGGCTACATATGTAACTGCATGAATGGTATGCTTCTTATTTGTTGTTGTTGTTGTTGTTTTTTCTCTTAAGCATTCACTGAATTGTTGCAGGTAACTCCTTTGTAACCCACTCACATTTCCTGTTTACCGAATTGTTGCTTATCGCTACAACTTTTGAACTTTTCAAGGTTAGGAATGTAACAGAATGCACCAGCAAAGTGAGTTGTGTTTATGCTGAAAGTGTTGTCAACAAAAAAAAAAAANAGTAACTGGTATGGTTACTTATCATAAAACGTATGTAATTGCTAAAACATCGATGTTTTCAGGAAGAGTATCAAATTCCAAAAAAAAAAAAGTTAATATATAATTTAAGCATACAAAATTACCTTCATTTGAATTGTTGGAATACGACGTTCATCTATTAGTAAATGAGCAATATGCACTTACAATTTTTTTAAACACCTAATCACCTGCGCTGACTAGCAATTATTCTGCAGACACATTACTTTGAACTTGAACTTCATGGAAGCCCATTCATTAAGTTGTTGAATTACTGTTAATTATACTTTTTCACATGATATATGTATGTATGTACATATGTACCTACATAAGCATAAATCTTTGGCATTTATGTACGTACATACATACATATGTATGTATTGAAGAAACCACATTTCTAAGTTTAAGTATAAATAAGTATGTATAAATATTTTCAAAACAGAAGTTTTAGTGGCATTCATTTGATATCCGTTTTTTTTTTTAAATTTCTCAGGCGAAAAACATTGATTGATCATTGAGATCAGGTTACTCTTATCATCGGAGTGCATATGAGCAAATCTTTCGACTTTTACATTTTTCGACAAAAACGTGTTTTTGGCCGAAAATGGAGGCACACTTATCTTAGAAAATGCATTGTTTTCAGATTCGTAGAAATCCGATTCCAACGCATTAAATTTGTATACCCGAGCGCACTTTTGCACAGGGTATTAACACAAAATCAGCTGATCTAGTAACACCACCTTATATAAATTCGCCCTGGCCGCAATTGTGTTTACTCTGACGGATTTCACTACGTCAACTTTACAGCTATTCACTTACCGCCGACCGCTCTACCGTCATCCGCTCTAATTCTGGGTAGAGCTGAAATCGGACTGTAACCATGCCCCCCATATAACGGTATTTTCGAAAAATGCAAAAACTATGATATTTAAGTAAATATTTAAGTAAATATTGGTTCCAAATTGTTGAAAATTAGCATGCCAAGTAGAATTTCGGTGCAAAATAATATTATTATGACATTTTTGGAAAAGGGGCGTGACCGACGCCCACTTATGATGAAATACTGTATCTTAGTAGTCGCTTCACCTATCCTTACCAAACTCGGTACGAGCCTTTCTTAGGATCCAGAGTTTACCAGACATTTGTTGTAACTGTAGCACTCGTCTTCTTTGATTCAGATGTTT